ACTTAAATAATCTGAAGTTCTGTGGTGTTTAGATGCTAGTGAGACTGCATCATAATCCAGCCTCCATGTTTGAGGTTCATTCACTGAAAGAACTCCAGATTTCCAGGGGGTGATTTCGTTTCAGTTTTTCATGTGATTTGATTATCTCATAGAAACAAAGTAACCCTTACAATTTCCTTTATCCACCGTTACAATTTAAAAACATTCTTGTAGGTTTTTTTTGTTTTTTTAATGACAGGCTTTATGAGCAAGGAAAAGAAATATGGAAGACATGTCTTCTGCACATGCAACATGTCACCTGAACCACAGGGTGGCAGCATTTACCAAGAAATCTTTTTTTTTTTTTTTTTTTTTTTATGTAGGTGCTGGGGCTTTAACTCAGGGCCTGGCACTGTCCCTGAGGTTTTGTTTCTGTTTTTGTTTTTTAACACAAGGCCAGCATTCTACATTTGAGGCACAGCTCCACTTGTGGTTTTTTCTGCTGGTTAATTGGAGATTAGAGTCTCACAGACTTCCCTGGCAGGCTTCTAACCTTGATCCTTGTATCTGTCTGGTGAGTAGCTCGAATTACAGACATAAGCCACTGGTGCCTGGCTAGTAGTGTGTATGTGGTGTGTGTGTGTGGTGTGTGTGTGTGTGTGTGTGTGTGTGTGTGTGTGTGTGGTGTGTATGTACATGCACGTGCACGTGTGTGCCCATGCGCCTGTGCTTGTGCTTGGTGCTGGGATTTGAACTCAGAGCCTGGGCACTATTCCTGAGCTGTTTGGCTCAACACTAGTCCTCTACCACTTGAGCCACAGCTCCATTTCTGGCTTTTAAAATTGGAAATAAGAGTTTCATGGGCTTTCCTCTCTGGGCTACCTTTGCACTGGGATCCTTAGACCTCAGCCTCCTCATTAACTGTCATTAAAGTTGCGAGCCACCAGCAGCTGACAGCAATCTTTTTTTTTTTTTTAAAGAAAGACTAACAACCGTTTATATAGTTAGCAAAGTAAATCATTGAGATGCAATTTACTTAGTGGGATTGGTTGATTTCTGTAACCAGTTGTCTCTTGCTCTTCAGGTTCATGTGGAAATCATTCTAAGATGTTTTTTTTTAATTGGTTTGTTTTTGTTGTTGCTATTTTTATTGGCTGTACTGAAGCTTGAACTCAGGGTCTTACATTTGCTGGGTAGATACTTTGTCACTTGAACCAGGCCCCCTAACCCTTTTTTGCCTTAGTTAGGTTTCAGATAAAATCTCTCAGAGGTTAGCCTCAGACAGTGATCCTCCTCCTTATGCCTCCTTCATAGCTGGGGTTACAGATGTACATCAGTGCACCTAGCTTGTTGGTGGCGATGGATCTGGCTAATTTTTAGCCTCAAACTTTGATCTTCCTATCTCTACCTTCCAAGAGTTGGAATTGCAGGTGTGAACCACTGTGGTTGGCCCCTAAGAGGGTTTGTTGTTGTTGTTACTGGAGTCTATAGAATTATGTCATTTTGAGCAGTTGTATTGCAGGCTTGTTATATCATCTAACTTGAGATGATTTCACAAAATACCTTCGAGAATTTCTTGATCTGTAGCCACTTCTGCTTTTCTTCTTCATCTTTTGTTTTTCCTGTTGCATGATATCTGCATCTGTTTTTGACTGTATTCACCTTGAAATGCTAAAAAGGCTTTACCAAAATCAAGAGGCTCTTTTAATGCATCTTTCATTGTAAATAAAGATCCCTTTAAATGTTTGTTTATGTGACATCTCTCTAATCCACTTCATTCATTGACCATGTTTATATAGATCCAATCTACAAACAACTCTGTGCTAGGCACTATGGGTAATGGATAGTTAGGAAATACTTTGAAGGTAAATTGTGGTTCTTGAGAAGTTTGAATGCAAGGTTACCACAATGCAGCATTTCTTCTCTGTGTTTGAGGAAGCTCTCATGGGAACAAACCCTTTCACTTTTCGGAGTGTCCTTTGTGTTGGTGTGTCTTATTCTGTTCTGTATTTGACAGAAGTTACCACATAGAGTGCCTAGAAACCAAGGACTTAGTCGGGGGGAAAAGATTTTTTCATACTACTTCTGAAAAATCAGGCAAGTTTAGGGTGCCCATCTGTAGAGCAAAAGTTTCTGGGGCTGGAGGAGAGGGAGACTGAGGCAGGGTGGAGCGCTAATTCCAGCCCTCTGGCCAAAAGAATGGCTGCCATTCTACCCTCAGCTGCAGAATCTACTCACTTTAGAGGGTGGAGTTGGGGAGGTTGGAGTCATTCCCATCCCTTTTCTGTCCCCTCCGGTACCATGATGAAGCAGCTCATCCATGATGCTGGGCACCTGGTAGACAGCTGGTATGTAGTTTCTCTCTTGAAACTTTGATGTGCAACAGAGAGAGTATTACTGGTTCAAGAACAGTTAAGAGTTGAGTGCCAGTGGCTCACGCCTATAATCTTAGCTCCTCAGGAAGCTGAGATCTGAGGATCATGGTTCATAGCCAGCTGGGACAGAGAAGTCTCCATGAAACTCTGACCTCCAATTAACCACTCAAAACTCAGAAGTGGAGCTGTGACTAAGTGGTAGAGCACTAGCCTTGAGCATAAGAGCCCAAAGACACTGCCCAGTCCCTGAGTTCAGGCCCCACAACTCCCCCTCCAAAAAAAAAAGAACAAAGCTTCCACAGTCTATCTTCCAGAAAAGAGTATGACTAGACTATTTTCATATTTTAGTATAGTTTTATTGAGCTATATTGCATTTTCTAGTATAGCTCCTAGAAATGAATCAACCCATTAAGAAGCTAGAGCAAAGTAATGGGATTAGATAAACAGACTCCATGAGAATGTAGATTCCAAAAGGAAAACATTTTGTCTGTTGGCTCCCACAGCCTCCCACTGGACAAGAAGGACACTCCATGGGTATCTGTAAAGGGACTCCAGGAGTTAAGTTTCAAGAACCCAAACATACCTACACTAAGGAGGCAGACTTTCATCTATGAAAAGAAGACTTTACCAGGATTTATGTTTAATTGCCCAAGGCCCCTGCCACCCCAAGAAGGAGTCTTTCATGTATAATTTATATTGGAGGATGTGACATGGTAGATATCGAATGTGTAGATGGAAAGGTATCAACACATCAATATTTGAATAAAACTTTAGTTTTTTTTTTTGTTTGTTTTACTTTTCTTTTTTTGGTCCAGTCGTGAACTCTGGGGCCTGAACTCTGGGCCTGGGCACTGTCCTTCAGCTCTTCAGCTCAAGGCTAGCGCTGTACAACTTGAGCCATAGAGCCACTTCCGGCTTTTTTCTTTTTGCTTATGTGGTGCTGAGGAATCGAACCCAGGGCCTCGAGCATGCAAGGCAAGCACTCTACTACTGAGCCACCTTCCCAGCCCCAAAACTTTAGTTTTATGTAGTCAGAAGATCATGAAGGCTCTTTTTGTCATGGAAGGATTTTTCCTCAGGGAGACTATTCTCATCATTCTCAGTCGCCCACTGATTTGTCTTCCTGTGTAAACTTGTAGTTGTAGCAGTTTGTTCAGTAAATGCCTATTTCCTGGTTGGCGCTCATTCCCTGTTCTTGTTCTTTGTACCAGGGACACATCTGTGGAGAAAAGGAAACTAAAATGTTCTGGCCTTGTGGAGTAGGGGGTCAAATAAAAGGCACCATTTTCAATTGTTCTATGCAGTGGATAAGAAGAAAAAGTAGACTGTGGATCAAGAAGGGCCAGGATGGTAGAGAAGTCCACTTTGACCACCCTTCCACCATGTCACAATGAAATATTCTAAACATGTATAAAAGTTAAAAGAATGGCATAATGAACTCCCCTGTGCCACTGACCTACATTCTCTAGATGTTAATGTTTTACTGTTTCCTTTGTCACATATTTATCTATCTATTCATCTAGCCATCCATAGATCAGTGTGGGACAGGTGACACTTATCACTGAGTCACCTTACCATCACCATCAAAATATGTCCAAATGAGCCAGGAGCTGATGCCTTACCTCTGTCATCCTAGCAACACAAACTGCTATCCTCCTGTCTCTGAGATCTGGAGGATTAAGGTTCAAAGCCAGACCAGGCAACAATGTCCTCAAGACTCCATCTTTAAAACCCACACAAAGCTAGGCTGGAGGTATGGCTCAAGTGGTATAGTGTCAGCTGAGCAAGGAAGTCCTGAGTTCAAGTTTCAATACTAGATAGAAAAATACACACACACACACACACACACACACACACACACACACTCACACACACACACACACACGAGCACATATACACATGTCTAAGTGGAATGCATTAGATAATGGACAAGGATGTTATTACATGCAGAATATACTTTTACTTCACTATAGTCTGTACATGAAATGCAGTATTTCTAGGTAAATGATAACATAAGGTGCTCTGCATAGTGTATTGAGAATAATTTATATTTTGAATTTCAGTGTATTATTCCTTTAGGTTCAAGGTGTGTGTGTGTGTGTGTGTGTGTGTGTGTGTGTGTGTGTGTGTGTGTGTGTGTGTGTGTGTGTGAGATCTGCGTTTTCATCCTGTAATTTAAAAGGGAGCATTAGGAACTAGGGATGTTATAACCATTTTATCTGCAGTCCTCTTTTGTTTTAAGTATGCCTGGGCAGTTCAGCACACAGCAAACTTGCTTTCATCAAAGTGTTTAGTGGAATTTTCTCTTGGAGAAAAGTGGATTTAAGCCCTCTCAACAGGCAAGGTTCTTGAGCAAAGACAATACATCACTGGAATGGCTCTATTGTTCTGTTGCTCACATTCACCCCTTTCACCAGTCCACCTACTTCTAACCCTCCAACAGCTCTAGTGGCAGCTATGTGAAGCTGTCAGTCAAGAGCCCTGTGGCTTACTGTTTTAATGGTGAGAAGAGAATAATGATGCTATATCTTTCTTGGAGCACAATCAGAAGGTATCTGGCTATAGGCCACCATAGATCGTTTTCCAGGCTTCCCTAATAGGAGTGGTCATTTTAAGATGACACCAACTTTATTTACTACTCTTCAGATCATGTGGATGAACGAACAATCTGCAATGGAATCGCCCCAGAGAAGGATGTAGATGGATTTCATATCATCAATATTGGAAGACTGTGCCTTGACCAGCACACACTCATACCTGCCACTGCCAGTGCTGTGTGGGAAATAATACGAAGAACAGGTGGGTACCGCAAGTTTTTGTGCATTGCCCTGCAGAGCGACCTCTGGAAGGGCAGACACGGGTAAGCCATGAAACTTCAGTTGTCTATGGAAAGGCGTAAAGTTATAATAGAAGTCCAAGGCTGATCCAGAATAAAACAAAGGACAGAGTACCAAGCGTCAGGGCTGAGATTTCAAGTAGTGCTTATGTCTCCCTGCATTTCATGTATTTTGGTGAAAATATTTTCAAAATATAGTCAATATTTTCCTTCTTAAAATAATGTGCGGATCATACAAGACTCATCTACTGACCTAGGTTTGTGCCCGAAGGTTAATATCATCTTTACACATACCATACATGTTTGTCCCCAGGTATTGTCATTTTTCACCCATACACCACGGATGTTTTTTTCCCCATGAATCTACCTCAAGGAACCTGTGTGGGGTTGGTTTTTCCTGGCCCGACCACTGTCATGACCATTGGTGGAAGCATCTTCTTTCTAACCTGCTATCTCCAAACAGATCATTTCTGAGAGGAGCATCATCTTGGAGTGTTAGTGCCTGCATAAACTGTTTAGTTTTCTGTGTTTTTTTTTTTCCTTCTGGAGAAACGGGGAATCAGAGAATCTTCAGGCTTTGTCTTTCCCATGATCCTAAGTCTCCAAGTTGTCCTGTTTCTCTCTTGGGTAGTAAAATACATGAGCTCTGTGAAAAATACATTCCCCCACCTCCCACTTTATTTTATCCCAAGCTTTATTTTGCTCCAAGTTTAATTGCCAGTCGAGCTTGACATTATCGTTGCACTTGACATCGTTCATAATTTCAAGGCTCTCCACTTCCAGCACGTCATGGGAATCTTAATATTTAAAAGTAATTAAATGGCAACTTGGTAATGCTTGCAGTCTCTGAATGAGGATATGGTGGGCGAGGAAATGACAAACCCATGAAGCATAACAGAGAAAAATGTATAAATAATTGAGAGTGGGGCACATTAAAGGCAAGCCACCACATCCACATTTTGTTCATCCTTTTCAGCTGGCTGTTCCCAGGTTTCATTTGGTTTGTGTTGGTTGTACATGTAAATGGAATTCTGTGTTTTTAAGGAATTGAAACGTTTGGCAAAAACGTAGTTGTGGCTGGAAGATCCAAGAATGTGGGCATGCCCATCGCCATGCTTCTGCACACGGATGGAGAGCACGAGAGGCCTGGAGGTAGGGCGCCTACCCTCTGGGGCTTCTCATGGAGATGCTGTGGTCCTATGGTATCCTCCCTTCACCCGTCATGGGAAAACTTTCCATTTGATGACTCTGTGTACCTGTGGGTTTGTGCCATTGAAAGTTTCCATTATTCCTCATCTAATGGTGTGAAGGCCTTGAAAGTGAGTACAGAAATTGAGGATGTACATGGCACTTCTATTTCTATTTTTTTGGATAAATATCCCTTCCTTCCTTCTTTCCTTCCTTCTTTCCTTCCTTCCTTCCTCCTACCCTCTCTCCTTCCCTTTTTCTTTTCTTTTCTTTTCTTTTTTTCCTTCTTTCTGTGTTGGTACTAGAAATTGAGCTCAGGGTCTCATGCTCTTGTTTAGCTTTTCTCTTCAAGGCTGGCACTCTTACCATGGTAGAACAACAATTCCACTGCTTTTAAGGCTGGCTAATTGGAGATAACAGTCTCACAAGCTTTCCTGTCCAGGATGGTTTTGAACTTTGAGCCTCAGATCTCAGCCTCCTAAGTAGCTAGGATTATAGGTGTGAGCCACCAGTGCCTACATGCTTTCTTTAAATAATTAACAATGTAAGCATCAAAAAAGGTTAAAAAAAAAAGACCCCCACAAAAACCCATCTATGAGATGCATGAAAAACTTATGCCCAAGAAAATTCTCAAAACTTTGCGCAGTTGTATGTAGAATTCCAAAACAAACAAGGTCAGAGTACAAAGTAATAGTCAGCTAGTTAGCTTACTTCACAGACAGAAGGGGCTGATAGCTTACTAGCAAGATTTCATGACTGGGCACGGAGGTACAAGGGATCATGAGGGAAGCCCCAAGTCAGTAAGAAAGCCCAGCCAGATGTAGACATGTTTGAGCACATAAGCCACATACCAGGAACCTGCCTTCTCATCACCAGTCCAGCCTGATGGTTGGATGCTGAGTGGCTGCTAGTGGGCAGGGAGAGGGGGTGGCAGGAATGGAGATGCAGGGAGGAAGAAAATGCAGCAAAGGGGTAGGTACTGCTCACGGTGGCCTTTGACCTCGCTGGGGCCAGAGCAGGGAAATTGGCTCTGCTCATGACTGGGTGACATTCTCTCCTAATACAAATAAAAGACTAAGTTCATGCTTCTAATGCCAGTAGTTACTGATTTATGTCTTTGTTAGAGGTTTTATTTACTGTGTCTTTTACGGACTACTGTTTCTTTTTTGTTGTTTTTGCTTGATCTTCATTATAGTATTTCATTGATTTTTTTCAAGTCCAAAATAAGTGAACAAATATCTATCTGCTTACAACACACACACATCCACACACGCACACACACATCCACAACCATACATAGATATATAAATTTCTTATGAGTCTTGCTGAATTCCAGTTTCCTAATATGACCTTTATTTTTTTTTAACATTCTTTCATTTAGGGCTTTGGCTACATAATGAATGCATCTGAAGTTAATTTTAAAAACAAAAAGCCCCATGGAAAAATAAGCCTGCTGTTAAATTTGTCTAAAATGATGAGTGTGGAGGCTTTTGAATAGCATTTTTCCGGCTCATGCCTAAGGTTTTAAATCTTGCCAGGAATGAACATATGTAAGGGGATTATAGTGAATGGGGCCTGCAGCAGGTTCAGGTAACCTCAGGATGGTTTAGCTGCCAGGGCTCCGGAAGGCTGCACTGCTGGCAGAACCATTTTTGTGACATTCATCTCCATGGTAGCACTGCTGGGTTTACTGCTGCCTTTTAGCAGCAGTATCTGCTGCATATCTATCTTTCAGGGTGCCGTAAAGCCAGTGATTCCTATTTGCCTTTATGTATTGGGTTTGTACTAGGACTTGAATTCAGGGCATCTTGCTCTCCCTTGACTTTTCTCCTCACAACTAGTCATCTGCTGCTGATCCACATCTCCAGTTCTGTCCTTTTTCTGGATCAGTGGGAGATAAGCATCTCTTGGATTTGATTTTTGGGCTGGCTTTGAACTGTGATTCTCAGTTCTCACCTGCTCAAGTTGTTACATTCAATCTTTGCAGGCCTCCACTGACCTCCTCTGTAAAAGTGAAACTACTATTCATGTCTCTCATTGATTGCTATGAGAATTAACTAAGATGGAGCTGTGAGGCAGTAATTAAAGTGTGTTTAAAGTACAAAGTGATGGACACACAGTAAGGTAATGAAGTGGAACATATACCTGTGAGTATTGCTGTTATTGTGATTACCAAGGTTTTTGCTAGTCAGTACTGGTTTTTAACTGAGGGCTTTCTTCTTGTTAAGCTTTATGCTTTGAGGCATGCCTCCACTCTGTTTATCTCTGGTTATTTTTGAGATAGGGTCTCCCTCTTTGCTGGCCTGGACTATGATGACCCCACACTTGTTGCTAGGCTAGCCTGGAACTTTAATCCTTGTGATCTCAGCCTCCCAAATAGGTATAGTGACAGGTATATACCACCAGACTGAGTTGAGAGGTTGGGATTGGGGTCTCACAAATATTTTGGTTGGGCTGGCCTGGAGACACAATCCTCCTGATGTAGGATTAGAACAGGAGACACCAGCAACCGGCTATTGTTTTAATTCTTAAGATAGAGATAATTACCTATCACCATGCCAGCCATAAAGTGTATAGTAAATGAGCTGAAGGTAATTATAATTGCACATACACTATATAGATAGGTAGATACATAGATATATGCTATTTTTTTTACCTTAATTTAAAATTATATTTTGTGGGATTTTTAAATTTGCTTATTTTACTCATATTTAATTCTTTGAGAAATAGTTTAAAAGAAACTCAGGATTTATGAAAGCTCACAAGGTATTTTATTAGACGTGTGATACACAATGCTCTAAATAATACTTTATAATATACATTTTTCTTTTCCCAGTGTAACCATACTCTAATTTCTTGTTAAATTTCAATTCTTAATTACTTACTTATAAAATACTTAGTGAAGAAAATTAATTTACCTCTTTAGATACAATTTTATGTTTGATAAGGGTATATTATAAACATCCTTTCATAAACTTTATCACATGTGGTTTCTTTATAGATCATATACACATAAAGAGGCATCAATGTAATCATGAGGAACACAAATATGAGTTGATACGAGCAATGATCTCTGAGTAGAACATTTTCGGGTAAAAATATTACTTTAGAAACATCTCATGCTTTGTATAATGAAATATTCTCACCTGAATGCATGTCAGAGTTGCTTGCACCTATAAACCTGGCAAGTCAGCAGGCTGAGAGGTAAGGCTCAGAGTTCAGAACAAGCCTTGACAGAAAAATCTTGAGACTCCATCTCCAGTTAACCAGAAGAAAGCAAGGATGGAGACCTGGCTCCAGTGGTAGAATGCCTGGTGAGCAAAAAAGAGGAGCAAGAGCAAATTAAGAGCTCAAGGGCCCGAGTTCACACATTGCTACTGACACAAAAAAATGTGAACGAACATGGAATCAATTATGATGCTGATTGCCACCCAACAGTCCAATTGACCTTTATTTTGTGGTACCAAAATGCCTTTATGCATACATTACCTGAAAGGTAAGAAGTCAGGCTAAAATATAATGCCGGAAAGTCAGCAATGTGGGTGAGTTTAATTTTATGCATATTTAACAGATATATGATGATGTTATTGATGCAATGCATTGTAGAGGGCTGTGAACTGAAGGTTTGGGAGAAGGAGTATTCCACATGTAGAATATTACATGTCTGGTAGGCAGTAATTGTGTTCTGTGCTCCCCATGCATTGTTAGCTAATGGACATAATGAAGAGGATTCACCGCACAGTTGTTTCTCTTGTACTTGTTCTAATGACACTCACGATCTGGAGTATTCAGAACCCTAATGATTCATTTTTGTCTTAAAGCCAAAGACAATTACACTAAAAGAAAAATCACCATACTGTAATTTAGTCTCATTACTTTGTGCCTACCCAGCCAGCTTTTAGTTTTGACATAAAGGAAATAGATCCCAGCTGTTTTGTAAGAAAAAACATCTTTTAATTCACTGTGGGCCCAAACCTTGAAGGGTAAAGTTATGCTGCTGGGAAACAAGGATGGAGGTTGGGCTGAGGGCCAGGACTTAGTATTGGCCTCTGCATGCTTTATGGACAGCCAGGCTGGGACGGGTGGTTATCTCCTACTACAGCTATAGTGCTGGTGGTTGTGATGGGATACAAAGAGACAATATAAATTGAAGTAAGCCAGGCCCAAAGAAACATAGGTCCCATGGTTTCCCTTATTTGCAATAATTAGTATATGTCTGAGACAAGCAGAAAAGGTCAGATAAGATGGTGTTAAGCAAAATTAACCCCAAGATAAGGACACAAGTGGTTTTTTCTTTCTTGCTATTGTTTCTAATGGATTTATAAGGTACCAGGGTTATTTTTTGTTGTTGTTTTGTATGTCCCTCCCCCATGGTATAACCCCTGCTTTCACTGTATTTGATGTTGGAATAATTTGGGGAGGAGAAGGGAAAAAACAAATCGTTTAAATAGGGATACAGGTGGACCCATTGCAACAATGAGATGTACAAGTTGTTATGTCGAAAATGAACTTTACAACTTTGGGGGGGGCGGGGAGGATGGGAAGGGATGGGAAGGGGAAACAAAGGAGGAGGCTACAATGCTTGATAAGAAATGTACTCATTATCTTGCTCATGTAATTGTAACCCCTCTGTACAGTATTTTCACAACAAAAAAAACTTATTTAAAAAACAAAGAAACAATGTTCACTAGTCTACTGTGTACATTAGACAGTATACATGATCACCATTCAGGGGAAAATACAGTTTCTCATGAGCAAGCATTTCAGCTTTTTAGGGCAACCCATGGCTGATTTAAATGAGAAAAAGAAAGTGACAGTAAAAAGTCTCTTCTTATGAGTCCTGCTAATTATTGCAAGGATTGAGGGTTATTGTGACCTGTGACAGATTACTGTGGATTCGTTTATTTATTTAGTTTTGATAGTACTTGGGTTTTGAACTCAGGGCTTTGTAAAGTCAGGGCCTC